ATGCAGTGGAATTAGTATCCAATGATTGTCATTCTGGCACATATCCAAAAATATTTTTGTGAGGAAGAAGAAAATGGCACAATATTACCAGCCCTGAACCAAAATCATGAATTCTGAAAGTGCTTGACAAAAAAATACCAAAGGCCTACAATTTCTAATCCAAGGAACAAACCCTAAAGGGAAACTTCTTTAAAAAGTCCTATATGCTGGCCTATCATGGGTATAAAGCTTCTAAAACTGAATGTTAATCAAATGTCCTTTTTTCTTTTTTTTTAATTATGCAGTGGTTATCCTTGTACTTACTCCCTTAACTTTTTTTTTTTTTTTTTTTTTTTTTTTTTTTTTAAGTTGGGAGAGAGGGAGAGGGAGAATCCCAAGATTCTGAGAGCCTGACACGGGGCTTAATCCCACGACCCTGGGATCAGGACCTGAGTGGAAATGAAGAGTCTGACACTCAACTGATTGAGCCACCCAGGTGTCCCAAAATGTTCTTGACCACTATGCTTTTCAGCTTCTTTCCATGTGGAAGGATGCTCTGATCCATCATCCAAGTAGAATGCTGACGAATGCACAATAATGTCTTCACAGAGATGAACATATCCTTCTTTGAAGTCTTTCAAAAAAGTGCATTTCTTTATCTTCTTTGTTCAAGTCATATGCTCTTCTTTCTCTTTAGACATTGGATGAAACAGACTCAGTTTACAATAAAAGAAGTTTTTGCTTTAAGAAAACAAAATATCTGTCAATCAACTCTCCTAGCTCTGGCTCATGAGTCTATGAACATCTTGTAACCTTCTGGTAAAAAGTGCATCCTGCTGAGTGTCTTGCACAAAAAGTGTACTCAGACTTGAACACTCTGGACTGAATTTTTTTTTTATTATTAACACTTGTCTTTCCATTTGCTACACATCATCTGTTGTGCACCTGGTCAGCATAAGCTAGTCCCCAAGTCTTATCACCATTGGGAGGAATGCCAAAATAGTCCCTGGGTCTCTAAAGCTAAAGCTTTTTCCAGACTCCATGTTGTCTCCTGTCCTTGGAGTGGCATGTTCCTCCTTTGCACCTCTCATTGATCCAATGAAGGCATACACTCAATACTTCTTTTCTTTGATTGGAGTGGATTAGCATGGCTTACTTTTACAGTTGGCTGACCTCATTGATTATATAGAGATCTTTATCTTGATCAGTATGGGACTATAAAAGAATAACTCTCAATCCTATAGCTATTACAACACCATTTTTTCTTGGACAGAGGAGTTTGGAATTTTTTTCAGAAATAATGAAAGGTCTTTGGAAGGTTCTGAGTTTCATCAGAAGGTTGTCATCTGTGATGTGTAGAACAGACTGGCATTGGAGAGGTCTGTAAGAATATTTCCTGCACCGTTGGAAATTCAATCCACTTTCAGTGCTGTAGCCACCTCCACACCCATACGGTTTGGATCCAATTACTGCCCTATCCTCATTGCCATCACCCTAGTCTGATCCATTATCACTTCTCACTTCATTTCTTATAAAGCTTCCTAACAAGTCTCCCTGCTTCCTCTTTTTCTCCCACTAAAATCAATTCTCTACATGGTAACTAGAGAATTTAAAAAAAAAAAATAATTTTATTTTGTTATCATTCATGCATCCTAAATTCACCCATTTAAAGTATACAACTAAACAGATATTAATATATTCACAAGATTGCACAACCATTTGCAAGTATCTAATTTTAAAACATTTTAATTACCCTTCAAAAAACCCCATATCTATTAGCAGTAATTTCCCATTCCTCTTTCCTCCCAGCCTCTGGCAACCACTAATCTACTTCCTGCTTCTATAGATTTGCCGATTCTGGACATTCATATAAATGGAATCATAAAATATGTGGTTTTTTGTGTCTTGCTTCTTAGACTTAGTGTAATGCTTCTACCAGAAGTGTGTGAGTAGTACAGTTTCTTCTCCATGTCCCTCATCAAGATCAACAATTGGTTATTGTCTTTTTTATTAAAGCCATCCTAGTGGTTGGGAATCACCATCTCATTGTGGTTTTGATCTGTGTTTCCTTGGTAAATAATGTTGAGACTCTCTTAATGTACTTATTGACTTTTGGTATATCTTCTTTGAAGAAATTTTTATCTAGCTCCTTTGCCCATTTTAAATAGGGTTATTTATTTTTTTAATTAATGAGCTGTAAGAGTGCTTTACATAAAGTAAAGTTCCTTATCAGACATGGTTTGTAAATATTTTTCTCTCATTTTCTGGGTTATTTTTTCACTTTTTCTTTTAACACTTATTTTTATTTATTTATTTTTTTTTTTGAGAGAGAGCAAGTGGAGGAGGGGCAGAGAGAGAGGGAGGCAAAATCTCAAGCAGGCTCTACACTGTCAGTGCAGAGCACTATGTGGGACTTGAACTCACAAACTGTGAGATTATGATCTGAGCTGAAATCGAGAGTTGGACATTTAACCAACTGAGCTACCCAGACACCTCTCTGTTTCCTACTTTTTTGATGGTATTGTTTGTAGCACCAAAGTTTTTAATTTTCATGACTCTGAATCTAGCTACTTTTTTCTTTTGTTGCTTAGGCTTTGATGTCATTTCTAAGAAGGTTTGCCTAACTCCAGGTCATGAAGATTTACCCCTATATATATATTTTTAGGAGTTTTATGGTTTCGGCTCTCATATTTGTCTTTGATCCATTTTGAATTAATTTTTGTGTATGATGTGAGGTAGGGATCCAATTTCATTCCTTATATAGATATCCACTTGACCCAACAGTATTTGTTGAAGAGACCAGAGAGATCTTTTAAAAACATAGATCAGATTACAAACCTTCTCTGTTTAAACTTTCAATAACTTTCCATTGCACTTAACAATAAAATCCGAATTTCTCTGCCTACCTCTTCACTCTCATTTTATGCTACTCTCTCTCTTGCTCACCATGCTGCCTGGTCTTTCATTCCCCAGAATAAATAAAGCTTTCTTTTCCCTTAGCTTCCTCATGTTTCTTCATTTCTCACCTTAAATATCTTCTCGTAGATGACTTTTCTCAACCTTTCTTCTAAAACAGATTCTCTGTCCCATCCCACTTTTTTTTTTTATATCATCTCCTTTAATTTTCTTCATAGCTTTAATTATCTATGTATCTGCATTTGTTTTACTGCGTTTTTTTTTAATGTTTTTATTTATTTTTGAGACAGAGACAGACAGAGCACGAGCAGGGGAGGGGCGGAGAGGGAGGGAGACACAGAATCTGAAGCAGGCTGCAGGCTCTGAGCTGTCAGCACAGAGGCTGACAACGACGACGACGTGTGTCTCAAACTCACCCACTGTGAGATCATGACCTGAGCTGAAGTCAGAGGCTTAACGGACTGAGCCACCCAGGCGCCCCCTGTGTTACTTTTTACTTTGGTAATACTTCTTTGCATTTGCCTTCGTGTTTTGCATATGACATACATTCAATTCACAAATCATGTTGTTAGAAACTAGAATTTACAATTAGATGGGACGTTAAAAATTACCTTCAACTACTGCTTCTTTACAGGTGAAAAAAACAAAGTCTAAAGAGTGTGAGTTGTCTGGGGTCAGAGAAACAGTAGCTAGCTTTGATTCTGAGAGCTATAATTTCCACAACAGTTTCACTTTCATTTGCAACAATGATTTGCCCTATTCCAATGTCATGCAATTTTTGCAAAAATCACTAAAATGAAGACGAGTTTTCTTCTTGTTGTTGTTGTTTTAATGTTTATTTATTTTGAGAGAGAGAGAGAGAGAGAGAGAGAGAGAGAAAGAGAGAGTTCCAAGCAGGCTCCATGCTATCAGCATGGTCTAAGGTGGGGCTTGAACTCACCAACCTGGAGGTCATGACCTGAACTGCAAGCAAGAGTCCGACCATTAACCAACTGAGCCACCCAGGCACTCCAAATAGGAGGGTGTTTAGCAATTTGTTACAGAAATGACATTATTTTTCTAAGCCTTCATTCTAAGATGCCTAGAATGGGCCCTCCAATGGATGGACAGGACCTGGTTAGGAAGGCCAGAAGTCACACTTCACAACGGCACTAAGTCGGACTTCTTTGTTTCTCCCTCCTTGGCTGTCCCACCTCCCTCCCTTTCCCTTCTTCCGGGTCAACCCTCCCAACACCGCTACCCCCGAGGCTCCGCCCCCTTCAGGGCCGCGTGCCCTGCGCCAAGATGGCGCCAGGCGCTTCTGCTTCGGAAGTGAGCTCACACTACTCCGGAAGGGAAGGCGGGGAAAGAGCAGGCGGGTGGGTGACCCGCTGTGGGGCTGTGGGTGGGGCGGCGACCGCAGCTGTGGTATTCACGCTTAGGGCTGGGGAGAGGGCGAGGGACTCGCCGGTCTTGGGAGCCCAGTCGAGGGCCCAGGGCCGGGGGCGTTGGAGGAAGTCGCCCCGAGCGGCTCACCACTGGCCGGAGGAGAGGCGGCCCTGGGAGCCGGCGTCCCGCCCCCGGCGGCCTCCTTCCCCAGCCCTCCTCCCGGGTTGCGCGCGGGCGGTCCCTGTTCTGTCACGGGGGCTGCGGCGGGAACCGTCGAGCGGGCTGGACGGAACCCTCCGCCAGAGGACCCGCTGGAGGAGCAGAGGGAGCGCGGCGGGCCAGTCCGTCAGCTCAGAGGTCAGGCCTCGGGTCGCGGTCCGTGGTCCTCCGTCCTTCGGCGAGCCCTCTTGGCTAAGAGTCCCCGACCTCCCCGCACTGCTTCTGCTTCTCCTTTGAGTAAACCACCAAACCCTCTGGCAAGGTGATTTTTTTCCTCCTTGCATTTGCCGGGAAAGAGATATATATTTAAAGGGTTTCTGTCCTCATTGCTACCCTTGCCCTCTTAAAAGTTTTCCTTTGGTAGGAATGCTTGTATTCCTTCCCTGGACCATTTGATGGTTCCCATCCAGCCGCGGCCTGATTTAGCAACTGGAATCACCTTCAGATCAAGTCTTAAAAATTCGCACCTACAAAACTACTCTACAGAGTTGTTCCCTCCCGCCCAAGAAGGGCAAATGGACTTTGGAGTTAAGATGCAGGGGGGTGAACCAGTGTCAACAATGAAAGTCTCAGAGAGTGAAGGAAAGCTGGAGGGCCTGGCCACAGCGGTGACCCCAAACAAGAACAGCAGCAACAGCAGCTGTGGGGGTGGAATCAGCAGCAGCAGCAGCAGCAGTAGTCGCGGTGGCAGTGCAAAAGGCTGGCAGTACAGGTAGGTCCTTTCCTCAAGGTGATTTCCTCAGGTGGGGGTGACTATGCTGGAGTCTGCATTTCGGCGGTTGCTGAAAGGTAAAGTTACCTAGTGACTTCCAGAAGCAACTAATACATCTCATTTGGACCTGGGATCTCATCTTTCATAAGCAAGATTTCATTCATTCATTCGTCCATTCAACAGGTATTTATGGAAGGCCTTTAGGAGAATACATAAGTGTATCCCTGAACTTCCTCTACATCCCTAGAGTTCATTCCTCTTCTAATTTAATTCTGTGCTCACTTCTGCTTTTGTGTGTGTTGTAATTTGTTTACAGGCCTGTGTTTACAGTTCCTGCTTGACTGTGAAGGCAGGAACTGCTTAACTCAGCTCTCTCCAGAGGCTAGGAAATGCTAGGTGCTCAAACATATTTGTCAAGTGATTGAATGGAATCATTGAATAAGAAAAGATTCTTGCGGCCCCTGGGTGGTTCAGTCTGTTAAGCCTCTGATCCTGGCATGGGGCTCTGTGCTGATAGCTCAGAGCCTGGAGCCTGCTTTCTCTCTCTCTCCCTCTCCCTCTCCCTCTCCCCATTTGCACTCTGTCTTTCTCTCAAAAATAAGCATTAAAAAAAAAAAAAAAGATTTTTGCCCTCATGGTGTTTGTGACTTAGAAGGGGAGATACACGTAAATAATTTGAACACAGGGGCACAGATATAGATACTGGTGCCTCTAATACTCTAAACCAGGGAGACTGGAGACATTTCAGTTTGAGTTGGTCAGGCCATTTAACTCTGTCATGATGAGAAATTCTACATTTGTTAATTTTCATTAATATGGAGGATAAATTTAAGGAGCAGGAAGAGAGTGCTGGAGAAGCAATGGTAGTTTTGTTTTTGCTTTTGATGAGTAAAGTATAGGAGGATATAACCAGAATCTTTTTAATTGAGATATATTTTACATGTAACATTAGATTCAAGTGTACAACATGATTCCCTATTTGTATGTGTTGATCACCACAGTAAATCTAGTGAACATCCATCACCATACATAGTTACAATATTTTTTTTATTGTGATGAGAACTTTTAAGATTTCTCTCTTAGCAACTCTCAAATACACAAAATATTATCATTGATTATAGTCACCATGCCGTACATTACATCCCCAGGACTTATGTTGTAACTGGAAGCTTGTACCTTTTGGCCACCTTCACCCAATTCACAGTCCATGCCTCCACCCCATTCCCCCACCTCTGGCAAACCACTGGTCTGTCCCTATCTAGGAGTTCATTTTTATTTTATTTTGTTTTGTTTGCTTTTTTTAGATTTCATGTATAAGTGAGATCACACAGTATTTGTTTGTCTGACTTCACTTAATGCCCTCAGGGTCCATCCATGTTTTTGCCAATGGTAAGATTTCCTTTTTTTTTGGTGGCTAAATAATATTCCATTTTATATACTACATTTTCTTTATTTGTTCATCCGTTGATAGACACTTAGGGTGCTTCCACGTCTTGGCGATTGTAAATAATGCTGCATTGAACATAGGGGTGCAGATAATCTTTTCAAGTTAATGTTTACTTCTTTTAATGTTTATTTTTGAGACACACACACACACACACACACACACACACACACACACACGGAGCATGAGCGGGGGAAGGGCAGAGAGAGAGGGAGACACACAGACTCTGAAGCAGGCTCCAGGCTGAGCCTATCAGCACAGGGTCCAATGCAGGACTCGAACTCACAAACCGTGAGGTCATGACCTGAGCCCAAGTCGGATGCTTAACTGACTGAGCCCCCCAAGTGCACCCCCCCTTTTTTTTTTCCAGATAAATACCCAGAAGTAGAATTGCTAGATCACCAGAATCTTAAGAAAGAATGAATTCAGGCTATACCATTGTATTGTAGCTAAAGAAATGAATTGTTAAATTTTGGTTAACTGACTCCCTGTGTACTTAACTCTAGTCATTTTTAGCCCTGTGCTATTTGTAGTTGTGAAATTTGTGTGAAACTTGAAAGGGATTAAAGCCAAGATTTTGTGGGACACCTGAATGGCTCATTTGGTTCAGTATCCAACTCTGGATTTTAGCTTGGGTCACAATCTCACGTTTTTTGAGTTTAAGCCCTGAGTCAGGCTCTGTGCTGCTTGGGATTCTCTTTCTCTCTCTCTCTCTCTCTCTCTGCCCCTTCCCACACTCACTGTCTCTCTCTCTCTTTCAAAATAAATTAAAAAAAATAAAGCTAAGATTTTTGTGAACGATATATACTTAACTATACACAGTATACACATAATATCCATATGTGTGAAATATGCATGACTATTAGCATACAGAAATGAAGTGTAGAAAATTATAACTTTATTGGTAAGTGATTTTAGGACAGGAAAGTATATTTAGTTACTGTGAGATATTTAGGGTCACTTTTGGAATCAACATGATCCTTTTTTTTGGTGGCTGAAGACTAACCATGTAAGATTATCAATTACTTGGCAAGGATATTTTGATATGACTTAAGGAAGCAAAATAAAGTAACATTCCAAGTCAGAAGTCTGTCTTCTGATAGATATCCTCAACTTTTTGAAACCCACTCTCAGTTGAATTAAAACGTGAAACAGAATTTTTAGCCCTGGAGAGAGTTGTCATAAAGCCACGCACTTTACTCCTGTACTTCAATTCAGAACTGTATTATCCTTTGTTTGGTGTATTATTTAATGGTTACATGATTTTCAAACTAGAATCTATTGGAAGCACATATGAAAAAGGTTATCACGGTAAATGTACCAGAGAAAATGGCAACTGATAAGTGTAGGACAGCCCAAGAAGATTTGAAAAATTAACATGCAGACTCAGCTATATTGCTTCCTAGTACAATAATCAGTCATAATGGCCTTAAGTCATCTAGGAAAGCACAGTGTGTAAGAAGACAGAACCACGTGATACAGTGTTGAACAATTTCAAAGAAAATAGCTGAAAGAAAAGATGCTTAAATATTTGGAAAGTGCAGTTATGTGAAACTCTTCCCCAAGGGTGCAGATATATAATGTGTTACTGCATTTACATACTGACATATTTTTATTTTTATTTTTTTTAATTTTTTTTTTCAACGTTTTTTATTTATTTTTGGGACAGAGAGAGACAGAGCATGAACGGGGGAGGGGCAGAGAGAGAGGGAGACACAGAATCGGAAACAGGCTCCAGGCTCTGAGCCATCAGCCCAGAGCCCGACGCGGGGCTCGAACTCACGGACCGCGAGATCGTGACCTGGCTGAAGTCGGACGCTTAACCGACTGTGCCACCCAGGCGCCCCTGACATGTTTTTATTTTAATGAAGTTTGTCCAAGACTAATCCTTCAACCTAGCTCTCAATTTAATTTGTCCCTTTGTCCTCTAGGACATTGATGAAGCAGTTTTCTCCATTGCCCTGGGTTGCTCTCTCTTCCTGGCTTCTTCCTCTGAGACTCAAAGTTTCTAGACTTAAAAAAACAAGTATAGTAAAACTCAGCCTAACTCTTTCCTCTTAAAACTCATTTACACACAACTGCTTCCATTTCTTTAATCCTTGTTTATTGCTCAACCCATGATATTTGGCTCTATCCACACCAAGGATAGGAGTGAAAAAATGATGAGTTTTTTTTAGATTCTTATTCCCATTGATTTCTCTATAACTGTATTAGTTACAATTCTTTTCTTGCCTTTTCTTTTCTTTCTTTTTTTTTTTTTTTTAAAGATTTTACTTTTAAGTAATCCCTACACCCACCATGGGGCTTGAACTTACAACCCCGAGATCAAGAGTTGCATGCTCTACTGACTGGGCCAGCCAAGCGCCTCTCTTTTCTTGAGTTTTTGATATTACTTTCTCTTGGTTTCTCCTTTACCCTCTGAATGTTTTTTTTCTCCGTTTCTTTGGTTGGCTCTTTTCCTTAAAAGGCTGGTATGATATTCCATCATTTTCTTTCCTTAAGCTGCATGTTTTCTGTTTGTTATCTCATTCTCTTCCATGGCTTCAGCTATTTCTATAATTTCAGAGGCAGTACATTCAACTGCCTACCTGTAATTTGCTACTGTTCCATTTTAAAAGTGGAGATTTTTGGTTATGTCTTACTGAGTAGTTGAAATTCAGTAAAGACCCTGTGATTCAGACCTGGACTTTAGCTTTACAAACTTAGAAAATTAATAAGCATCATGTTTTTGAGGTTTATAAATGCTGTCACATATCATTCCTTCATTGTTTTTTATGACTGAATAATATTCCATTATACAAATATACCATATTTTGTTATTCATCATTTGACAGACATTTGGTTTGTTTCTGTTTTGTGGCTATTATGAATAATGCTACTTTGAACGTTTGTGTGCAAGTTTTGTGTGGATATGTGTTTTCATTTCTCTTGGGTGTATATCTAGGAGTGGAATTGCTGGGTCGTATGGTAACTTTACGCTTAACTTTTTGAGGAACTGTCAGACTATTTTTTTTTAATTTAATTTAATTTTTAGAGAAAGAGCACAAGTGGGGCAGAGGGGCAGAGGGAAAGAGAATCTCAACCAGGCTTCACACTCAGTGCAGAGCCCATTGCAGGGCTTGGTTCCACAACTGTGAGATTGTGACCTGAACCAAAATCAAAAATCAGATACTCAACTCACTGAGCCACCCAGGTGCCCCCAGACTATTTTCTAAAGTAGCTATACCATTTTACATTCTTGCCAGCAGTTTATTGAGTTTTAACTTCTTCATATTCTTACCAGCACTTTATTGTCTTTTTGATTAAAAAAAAAATTGTTTTTTACATTTGGTTTTTTTTTTTTACTTTTTTTTTTTTTTTTGAGAGACAGAGACAGAGCACAAGTCGGGGAGGGGCAGAGAGAGAATGAGACACAGAATCCGAAGCAGGCTCCAGGCTCTGAGCTGTCAGCATAGAGCCCAACGCAGGGCTCAAACCCACAAACTGCGAGATCATGACCTGAGCCGAAGTTGTACGCTCAACTGCTCAACCATCTAAGCCACCCAAGCGCCCCTGT